ATGACCCTGGCTCTTGTACAGCAGATACCCTTTGTTGCATGTCACTCCTCATCTCGCTCTCTCTCTGTTTCCTGTTTACTCTCAGCTGTATAATGAAGACAGTAATAATAAAATCATTTGTTTACTCAAACGTGACAGAATACATGGAGCACAGAGGCGAAGCGAGCAGGTTAATCCAGCTATGTTGGTGTGACGTCCATGTTCTCTGTGGTTTGACCGTCAGCGTAAAGACACCTTACCATCATGCTCCACAGCGCAGATTGTGATAAACAGTATGTGGATTCTGTGAGTCTCTTTTTGACACATGCATTTAAAGGACCTCATAGGGTCTCAAAAACCAGGAGCGAAGTGTCGTGTAAAGTGAGGATGAGGTTTGCTAACTTCACTGCGAGGTCACACTTTTTTCCCGCGGCTCAGTCGCAGTCACACATGGTGCCTGGTGACCTGCCTGCGTCTACTGTTTGCTCCCTCTTAACTTTCTCCTGAGCGCCTTGAGATGATGTGAGTGTCTTTGTGTATCACAGGACACATATCACAGGCCTGTTCATGTGAGAGGGGATGAATCACAGCTAAATCACAGTTTAGAGATGCGCAGCTAATACAGTGTGACACTTACAATGGATGCTGGGTTTTCCTAGTGTAATCTTAGACAGAAGTCGCAAAAGCTTTAGAAGAGATTCGGTAAATATTGCAAAGGGTTTTATTTTTGCAATTAGTAAATGCCACTTTGCGGCATCACCTCACATTTACAGTGTGCACTACGGAGATTCCCTCTACAGCTGAGTCTTTAAAAATTGATGTTTTTCTTTTAAAGCACCAGAACATAAATAAAACAACAATAAAATCAATATCTAACTTACTTAATCATCATTTTTTTCTCAGTGGATACTTGCCACTGGGAACTTCAGTTCGGCAGCAGTGTGCTCCTTTTCTTTTTTTTTTTGGAGGTTTCCATTCTGAGCACCCACGAGATTTAAACTACATCAAAGCTCTGACTTCAGCATGGACTTTGCAGCCTCTCCAAAATTGAAGTAATGAGGGTCCAGGCTCGATCCCCTGCTCAAACAGCCTTGGGTCAGAACCTGCCACTGGAAAATTTTGTCTGATGGGTCAGTGGCTGCAGGAAGTGCTCGAGCTCATGAGGATGTATTGGTGATTACGCAGTGGAGGAGATGCAGAGAGCGGACCGGCCTACAGCTAAAACCCCGCAGGTCTGCAGGACTCTACAGCTGAGACTGATTGTCTTATTTCACATGGGGACCCAGAGCAAACCTGAGTAAAAAATAACACACACACGCGCAACAGAGCACCATATTAAAAACATTTTTTTTGCTGGTCTGGCAGATTGCAAAGTGGTCTCTTATTTCTTTTCGATCACCTGGGTGTTGCAGGAAAACATAATATCTTCCCTGCAGGCACACAGCTGGCCACCAATGTCGTTAGACGTTGGTGTTTGGTTGAATGTAGGTTGTGACGTCAGCTGACCAAACCATACCAACGGCAATTGGAGGTAGAATACTGACGACAGCTGATGTTGCTATGTTGTTGGTTTTAAGTTGTGTTGTTAAGTGACCACAGTGCAACATCTTCCAAACGTGTCGCGCCTACGCCGTCTTGACATATATAAGATAAAAACATTCTATAGTCGTTAGCAAAACCACAATTCACAATGTCAATTAGCCACCGTTGGATTATCACATCAATCTGATTTTCCTTTCCAATCAAAACGTAACATCTGTCCAATGTTAGAGTCCAACTTCTTTCTGATGTTACGCTGACGTCCGGTGCCAGCTGGGGTTAGGGTTTTACTGCTGCTACCATGTTTTGATGGTAAAAATGAAAAGATAAGTCTAATGATATATTAGATTTTTTTATAGCAGTCAACAGATACCATGAAAAAACCCAAACCACCAATGAATTGATCCTACTAACAAGTATTGTCTGTGTTGCCAAAACCTGATGTATCTTATTCTTTTGAGCCACAGCACTCCACTGTAGTCCTATTAAAATTATTGACAGCATATCAATGAACCATTATATACCTTTATAACAATAAACATGGCCATACTTTATTTTGAGTCAATCCCCTGAATGCTGAAATAGTCTCAAGGGGCACAAAATATGTATTCATACACAACTGAAAATAGTCCTTAATAAATGCATAAAAGTATATACTTATACTCATGACCTCTTTTTCTTTTTTCAGAGTCATGACTTCAGTAGGAAGCGTAGGGCTTGGAGCTGAGGGCCACAGACCAGCAGGGGAGGCTGGAAAGTTTTGACAGACAGACTAATGCATTGGTGGTTTTGGTCTTTTAAAAGAATTTGTTGACAAAAACAAAAATAAGGAATATAACTTTAACTCTTTTCCTTTAACAATGAATGTATCATTACTACTATTATTCATTTGATTTTATTATTGACCTCTAATGATGAAGAGATACACTTTTTGTATAGAGCCAAAAGATGATTTTTTGTATTTCCTCTCATAAGATGTGATGTCTTTGAATGGAAAAGTCTTTGTAGATGTGAGAAGGGCTGTGGATGCTTTATTTATTATGTCTTTGTTCTTTACCTTCCAAAGAGCATCATTTTTTGAAAGGCCACATTTTCGCATTTTTTGATCAAAGTGTTATGGATTAATTGACGTATTGATCGGGCTGATGCCTGCAGCACTTCAGTTTGTGAGGCTAGGATTTATGCAGGCTCTGTCACGGTTGACTTGACTGACCTGGTTATTGAAGCCAGAGCTATTTTTGGCTGGGCTCGCGCTGTGGAACTTAAGATTGGCCAGGATCTATCGGTCAATGACAGAGCCAGTGAGGTGCAGTACAGATGTCACCGTCTGTCACAGTTTGGTAGACGGTTACACATACATTTTAGGTTGTGAGGAATGCTGTGTGTCATTTGTCTGTAATGGCACATTGAGGAATTAACAACTAAGCTCATATTCAGATGGCAATACACTATTGAGAAAAATAAAAGCATTTTATTACCCATGAAAAAGAACTGCTGATGTTTCAGTAAAACAGCAACAAAAACATGGAAAATGTGTGTGTTTGCGCAAAAGAACGCTTGTGTCTGAACATTTTTTTTTATTTTTTTAAAGCAATTAAACCTTATCAGGATTGCCTTGACCTCTTCACGGTGTCCTCCCAAGACAGTGTCTCCATCTCCTGCTGACGTACAACACATCAGGGAACCACTGACTGGAAACCAGTGACACTGAAGGTCACCAAATTTGGCCCCAGTTAGACTTTCACTTGACATTTAGTCTTTTTGCGTCAAATCATCATCATCATCATCATCATCATCATCGTGTTTCTCTTTGGGCTTAAACACTCTTCAGATTCTCTCCTCACACTGTTCTCGCTGCCGAACCGCCAGAGTCAGTGTAAACAAACAATATTTTAACAAGCCTGGAAACTTTCATGTGAGGTTTATTTTCTCTCAAGTTTGAAGAATTGCTTCTCGTATTGCTTCGCTGTACTGGGGGAAATCTAAGGTCAAAGAGCGGACATCGGAGTTGTCCTTGGAGCCAAAGTAACAGCTGGATTCTTTAGAAATTTTGTGGTGAGTCATGTTGAGAGCATCACTCGTAGATGGAGAAGTTTCCTTTGAGATAAAAAAAAACAAAACAAAAAAAAACATCTCACAGCAGAGAATGTGAATGAAGAATGGGACTTTTTTACCCCCAGCTGCTCTGCTGAAGTAGCTCAGTGGTCCTCAGAACAAGGCTGCTGTAGTCCACATAGTCTCACAGGAATTTATAGGATTTCCTGCAAAAAGTAAATATTTTATTTTATATCAACTGAAAGGCAGCCACCCAACTATGTGATACTTTGTTTGGTTCGGTTTCTGGGAGTCACACTTAGGTTAAAAGTCAGTAATAGTATTAAGTGTCCACCATAAATCTTTTATTGTCAAAATAGTTCCATAGTTGCCTTTAATTGGAATTTTAAATAACAAAACTAGAGAGTGTTGCTGAGAAATAAACAAGGATTAAAATAAATTTGTGTTCTGTTTTCAAAAGTACGAATGGAATTTGTTAAAAAAAACATGTGAGTGAGGACATTATTGTAGGTTAATCAAACATGTGTGGATTACAATACCTAATAAACGTAATGATGTCTTAATGCTTGTTAATTTATGCATTTACAAATGATATAAAAATGACTTGTAACGGATATGCAACATGCTGATGATGAAAATGTGCAACTAATGTTCACATGAATGTCCAACCAAGCTTTCCTCTGAGACTGAGAATGAATTTAAAAAAAACAAACAAAATAAACAAAGATAAAGATCCTCCTCTCCTCCCTCCTCTGAGCTCAGTTCACGCCTCTGTCCTGCAGCTCCAGCCAATGTCAGCTCATATTACCCTCTGTGTGTTCTTGAATCTCACCTGTCCACTAGTTGCCACTCCACTGCTGAGCTGCTCTTACTGTTCCTGCACATCTTGTCAAGTCCCTCTGCACTTGTGGCTATATGATCTAAATTTAACAGCCAAAAAAAACTCATTATGATGGGTTGCTACAATAAAAACAAAGACAAGTCCTCGTGGATTTTTATATCATAGTGAGAATGGGATGCCACTTATAGCTTGGCAGATGGTAAAAAAAAAAGACATGCTTTGAGAAGAATCAGTAATTAAATATACTGTATATGCAAACTGTAGTCAACGGCTAAAAGATGCAGAAACATTTGTATGACGCTCTGCCCTGGGGCTTGTATGTAAAATTTTGTATGCTACCTTTACTCCATTGAAACATGGAGAGTTCACACACAGTGTTTTTGCAGTGAGGGTTAAACTGGGACACACACGATACAGCTCCTCTGCAGATACATTCAAACCTCGAAAAAAAGAGAGGGAGAGATTGGGTGGGATGGATGGAGGTGGAGGATTCCTGTAGTGGGAGGGAGGGGAGGGAGGGGTGGTGCTGAATGAACAGCTCCTCCGCTCATAAAGTAATCAGAGAGCTCCTCTGCTCCGTCAGAGCAGCAACAGCCATGAGCCAGCCGAGCTCCCCGTCCTCCAGACCCGCGCTGACACTCCGCCCGTCCCCCTGACGCGCACCACACCACCATGAAGAGGCAAAACGTGAGGACCCTCGCCCTCATCATCTGCACCTTCACCTACCTGATCGTCGGCGCCGCGATCTTCGACGCGCTGGAGTCGCAGAAGGAGACGGCCCAGAAGATTCAGCTGGAATTGAGGAAAGCGGAGCTGCTCAAGACGTTCAACTTGTCCTCGGAGGACTTTGACGAGCTGGAGAAGGTGGTGCTGCAGCTGAAGCCGCATAAAGCCGGGGTGCAGTGGAAATTCGCCGGCTCCTTTTACTTCGCCATCACTGTGATCACGACCATAGGTAAGAGAGCAGCACTGAGATCATATGTGGGAAGTTTGTCTTTTATTTCACTCCGGCAAAAAAAAAAGAAAAAAAAAAAAGTTGATATGATGGATCATATGTCAATTTCTGTTCCACGTGTCCCTGTAAAGCTTTATGAAATCAACTTTAGACTAATGGTTAGCTAAGACTGCATTTTTAGAAAGACTCTAGGCTATTTAACATCACAGCAGGAATATACATCCTAGAGGCAACAGGAGATACCAAAGGCAAGAACTCCATATATTTCATTTGGAGAAACCAAATACATTTGTTTATAGGAAAATTCTAGGTGGAGGAAACACCATAAAATATCATATAACATTATTCAGATATAACCATAAATCCCCAGAAACTGTAAAGGATATGCACCGGTGGAGTAAATCTTCTTAGATACTTAGGCTACTTAATTATGAGCTAATTAACTTCATAGCTCACAAAAAAACCTACTATAAATGATATAAGCTTACATAAGATCAATCGTGAACACCACAGACATACAGTCCCATGCATGAGGTGTTGTTGGCAGGTTCATAACCCCATCACTGCAGTATAAACACTGTAAGTGTTGCTTCCCACAGACTGAGCAGAGGGCAGACAATTTCTTTTTTCTTTAAACTGAACCTAGGGAAACGGGTTTGTCATCAGAGCCTTTTATACTGGCGTGTTTTACTCAGATTGCTTTGAAAAAGGGGAAGTCAAATCTGCAGCCAGCAAAGTACTCTTGAGGACATGCGTCTCTCTCTCTCTCTCTCCAAATATGAAATTCTGCTGCTCGTAACTGAAGGTTGTCATTAGAGAAGGTGCTCCAGGAAGACTTAAGTTATGAGACAGTCATTTGCCTTTTCTCTTGTGCTGCTACTCATTATTCCTGCTCCTAAGGGCCCTACAGCAACACGTGCCCCCCAGCTCTTTACTCATTTTATCACACAGCCTTCAAAGTCAGCCTGTTTGCTTTAACATCTCAGCTTCACTCAGCTGTTTGCAAAACACCTCTGTCATTTCAAATAATGAATAAAGATTAGACTGCATTGTTTACCTTTGTCTTGCCATTGGTTACTTTTAAGGCCATTGTTTCTGGTTGAAAAAATTAAACCTTTTTCTTTTTATCTCTGAAGCAACGCTGCCTAAATTTTTGGCCTAAAAGCCACTTCCACTGTGGCCACAAATGGTAATTAGATATCAATGACATTGATTTCTTAAATCAGCTACTTTACAGACATCTTGCATATCTGTGTATCTGCTAAACCAGTGTAACACTAGCACAAGTAGAAGAAGAGTCATAAAGTCGGCGAATGTGTTTATCAGTGTCAGTTACACAGCATCTCTCTTACGTTTGCTAATGTTAGCTAACATTAGCCCCCATAAGCTATTAGTCATACCAGACCTAGTTGGGCTGTAGAGGTCAAACTCCTGAGTATTGAACTGAAATTACTGAAGTTAAATGGTGTGGTTTATTGTTTATAAATGTAACTTTTCATTTGTAAGACGGAGATTGTGTAGTTTCCTCTGAGAAAAGTTACATAGACTCGCTTTAACATTTGTTTTTCAATTCTTTAAGAAGCAGTCTTTGTCACCATCTCCTATCTGAGCCTTCCTCCTTTGTTTAGTGACCGGGGCAGTTGTCAGTATAGTGACCTGTGACTTGTAACCCTATCAGATGCAGGCGACTAATCGCACACTAACCCAACCCCGGGTGTCTGTAACCGCATTCTGTAATTGTGAGCCCCGAGGCTGCTACAAACACAGTGATTGGCGTTTCAGCCTGCCATTAAGTATTAATGACAACACCAGACCGTCGCTGTTCCACTGGCCTTCTGGCACACCACATTAACGCTGTAGATACTGTACTGTACACTCAATATCACGCCACCATGACATACAGTATCATCCACATGCTGATGGAATGATAGAGTGGAGCAAAACAACGGGGCAGTTGGGCAAAATATGTATTTTACTAAGTTTTTACATGGAGCCAAACCTGAGCTAAAGCTGTGATTTCTTTTTGTTATGAAACAGAGGCTAAAACTATTTCTGTCACCAACCAAAATACAAAAATAGTCATGAACCTCTTATTTCCTCTCATATTCTTTGAAATTATAATTAAAGTCATTTTAGAAATGAGGCCTCAGGACATTCAGATCCAACACAGGACACCCCCAAGGACCAGAGTGCTCGAGTCGATGTGAAAACAGTGTTCTTTCTATGAGTTTGTAACAGGAGTAAAAGAGGAAATGAGTCAGTCTTAACATGGCTGTATTGAAATTCATATTGTATATAACACATACGCTGTTGACTCTATCAAAAACAAATAATATCCTGGGAATCTATGAATAAATATACACATCAATTCACATTTCTAAAGTGCACAACCGCCAGCGGAAAACAGCAAACACCAGCAAGATCTGGCCCCAGCATGCTCTACTAATAATTTAACATAAGGGAAGAAGCGAGGAGACGCTGCAATCAGTAACCAGTCATCACTTTCCAGAGAGGAAAGGGGAGGCGGAGGGCAGGGTGTCCATTTACTCACCAACTGCTTGGGGAAAGATTGAAGCGATGTTGGATACACCACAAGGGGAGAAAAAAAATTAGCTTTGAGCAAAAAAAAAAAAAAAAAGCGCTCTCAAGATGGCAGGATACATAGGGGAGATCCTCTGCACGGGTCTGATAAAGGCCTGGGGCACAGGGAGCTCTCCTAGTGGGTGTAAACACAGTCATCCCCCCTTCTGCCCTCACCCACTTCCAGGGGTGAACATCTTGTCATTGCCACATCAGGGTATATTTATATATATATAAATATGTCCACAGCACTCACTGTTCATGCTGCAGTTCGAGGTCATCTGGACCATGTTGAGGATAAACACAAGACACGAAAACACGGTCTTACACACAAGACACGTCTCATATCCTCTGTGTATTATCCGATGATGTCTGATAAGGGCGGGAACATGTGATTGTAGGACATGCAAAGCGGTTCTGTTGCTCTTCAAGGGGCAGATGGCGTGTGTTGACATACAGTACAGTAGTGTTTGTGTAACACGCCATATGATATCACAATACGTTTACACAAGCTAAATTAAAAGATTAAGCACACATACACGCAACCTTCTCACTGGTGATAATGAGCCATTCAGAAAGATATGATTCGATTTGACCAAATTTTGAGAAATGTTTTCTCTGTCATTTCTGGTCCAACCCCAATTCACTGGAGGTGAATGTAATATGCTCACAACATTGAAAAATGTCAACAGTAACATCTCGCTCCAGAAACAATGTCTCAGTTCCTCGAGATAAACCTCAGACCTTGTTATGAACCATTTCCCAGCAATGAAAGAGTCCCTGCATGTTGAAAATACTGCAGCCTAAGTAGTTACAGTTACACACCTCACAGTTTATGTTCAGTCCCGATGCCAGAGGTAGTGTGGCCTTTACGTTAGCGCGAGGGTGTAATGGTTGGGTTGGTGGATGGTCAGTTTGCAAACATATGATTAACATTTGTTTTTTTTTTTATTAACTATAACTATGATTCTAACTCACCATAACCAAGTCCTTTAGTTGCGTAACTAAAAGGTCTTGCTCTAAGGTCTTGTAGATTGTTCGGTATCGGTGGGCACTGTAGAAACGCGGCGACACAACATGGTGGGCTCTGTGGGAGACGACCTGTTCTCTATATAGATATGAAGGGCTCATTCTAAGCTAATGAAAACTTTATAAATACTATATTCCATTTCTGCTGATAAAGTCTTTCTGGTAATTTTTTAATTAAAGTTTGTCCATTGTATTGGGGTAAAGGCAGAAATCTCAGAGACATATATCTCAAAACTTGGACGTATGAATCCAATATTATCTGGAGAATAGAGGTAAATGAGAAAAAAAAAGAGAAAATATGTTTTATTTGTAATCTGGGTGAGCCTACCTTTTAAGTAAATTAATCTTGAAGAGATATCTAATCTCTGAAGTCATTAACCTTCGTCTTAGGCTCATAAACAAAACCTTTATTTTTGATAGGACCCATTAAAGTCACCATATGGTTGTTATTAGAAAAAACATTCCTTCAAAATCACATGCTTTGCTTGGATTTTTATTATTGTGAATCACCTCTTGTTAAATAGTTTTTGTTCAAAGATCATTTGGCTGTTTTCCTCTTGTTGATTCAGCAGACGTGAGCTCAGTGCTTCGATAGAGGAGCTCGCCGTCTGTAGTCGATGAATCTGTAATCTATTGTAGAGAGAAGAAACGAATACAAATGCATCTGTATGAGTCGCTATAATCCCAAAAGATAGCATCAGTCAGGGTTAAAGCCTTGGACTGGTGATGAAAATCTGCTGGTTGGTTTGCAACACTCTCCCATCACATTAAAAGTGGCCTGGATCAGAGAGCTTAAGCTCCCGGCTCTGGTTTAGTTGCTCTGTCACCACCAGTACATCAGTTGTTGATGTACTGGGCAGCTACCAAGTGTGGAAGCATGTTAGTGCTTTAATGTGAAGCAGGCTCTTCCTGAAAAAAGAGCAGACATGCTCAGCAAATCCCCTCCGGGTTAGTGAATCTAATGTCTCTATATGTGGACTGACAATGAATAAAATATCTGATCATTTTTCTATTTTCATCGCTGACACAGACTTTGATTTGGCACCAGACGTGAATCGGTTTCCAGCATCTGCATAATTAGAGGGCACATCCTGAATTATTAATGGTAATTACTTACATTAGTATCATCATTATTATTCAGTCAGCTTAAGAGGTTAGCGCAGTAAGTGGTTGAGTGCAGAAAGAGCATAACTCTCATCAGACAGAGGGAGATGGATAGCTCAGCGCTTCTCAGAGGAGAGTGTTGGCATTAAAAACATGAGAAAAAGTGTAGTAAGGATATAGAAAGACCACTGTGATATATTCACACTGATGGTAAGTGGCTAGAGATGTGTTCATTAGGTCTTTCTGTATGGTGAAAGTGCTCCTTGGTGCTTTTTCTTGCTTACTGA